TCATTGGGGGAGTCAAGGTGAGGATTTCAAATCTAAGGACATAGTACCAACTGTCAAGCATGGTGATGGAGCCGTTTTGCTAACCGTGGTACTGGTGCATTACACAAAAGGATGGAGTAATGAAGGAGAGGGGCGAGCTCCAAATTCTATAACAGCTAGATGGTTGAAACTTCTTGGACATTTAAGGAGTTAAAGAAAGAAGTTAGTCCGTGGAGTCGCGGATAAAGCAAAGAGAGAGGTACATCTGCATCTAAAGGACTCTCCTTGGATGATCCCAATGTTCACATTTTGGACAGAGAAGACAGATGGTTGAGAGGTGAAACATCTTCAAGAAACTTAAAGAAATCTAGACTCTTTTCTTTCCAAGCTTCTTAGTTTATGAGGAGCTTATGAAGGCAGCAAATGAGAAAGGAGGACTGAGAGAGAGGTTTATGACTCATGAAGTGCAGAAGATCGGTAAGGAGGAAGTGAGGGTAGCTACAAAGGAGATGAAGCACACTGGGTCTAGATGAGGTATTGAGATTTTTAGGAGAGACCAGACTGATTAAAATGATTGTGGAGTGTGAGTGGATGCCTGAGGGATGAAGAAGTGTACTGGTGCCAGATGTCAAGAACAAGGCTGATGGTCAGATCTGCTGAGGTATAAAGCTAAAGGGAATAACTATAACTGATTGCATAACAGATTAGTTGATCAACTAAACTCATACCGTTTAGGTTTTTGTCTCTATGAATTTGCTTACTATTTCTCCCCGTTGCCTGTAGAATCTTGGAATTCAGCAGATGTAACTAATTTTAAAAAGAACCCAAAAAAAAGAAGGAGATTTTACACAACTAAACTTGTTCATTATGTTTACATTGTAAAGATATCATCTTTGTAGAGCTTCAGTAGAACTTTTCAGCCAACCGACCTAAAGAAAACAAAATGCATTTTTAAAAAGGCCTAAAACTGTGAAACCAGTGAAAGCAGCCTCCTTATTGATTAGTTGAACATGTTTTGTAACAGGGTCAGCAATCCATTTATTCTAAAAGGAACACACCGAACTCCCTCAGCTAGATTACACTCAGATGACCAAATATAATACAGAACTTCAGCTTTGACCACACTTCATCGCTTTTTCATGCAACAAAAATTTAAAAATGGCTTCTCTTATGAGATTATTGTAACTGGTTTGATGCCCAGTCAAGCACAGCGATGCCTAAAGAGCAGGCAGAATGAGAACGCTCACACCACAATGTCTATTTACCATCCAGGGTCCAGCCCCTCAATCCTTATGTTTCCTGTCAGACTCTATACTTCAATACAGCAATTCACTTTCCTCTAATCCATTTACTTTGCAATTGAATCTTTACACTGTGCAGACATAGCCTCCTGCATGATTAATAGATTGAGCTGGTTTTGTCATCTCAGGAGGACGGTGGAGATGGTTTCTACGGTACGGGCTAGGATCCAAACATCCACTCTGCAACAAATGGGTAGGGAATCACTTTAGGTAACTCCATCAAGACCCAAGGGGCGGCTAAGTGTTGATGTGGAACATAAACTGATAAAGAGGGAAGGCTGCTGAGCTTCACCATCAGGTTAGATGGAGCTAACCTTGTTGACAAGAGAGCCAAAGGTCTCTATAGTACACATACCAATACAAGCGCCAAGTACATACAGGAGTACATCTGAAGTCATGCTGAAGTTCTGCAAATCTCAAACTTACATAGACCAGCCATGCATTAATACTCAATCATTATGAAAACACATGGTGCAGTTTGCCATATAAATCCCATAAACTGAAGGAAAGTATATGGTAAAAGAAAACAGCATGGTCGTATGGTCACTTCACAATATGGCTATAAAGCGTGTATATGTGTATAAACCCCCCCCCAAAAAAAAATCCCTCTGAGAAAGAAGTCCATTGGCTTTTACTTCTGAAGGTTAAGGTGCTGTTAGCTAGCCCGACTTCTTCTTTTCTGTGCTTCCCTGCTGTAAGGACGACCATGATGCACTCTGACTTTAGTTCTTGCTCTAAGCTGAAAGCTAAACATTGTAATGAAGACATTTTTTAATCCACATAACATAACCCCAGTGAAAACTATTACTAGCAACAGACAATGTAATTTAATGCAGCGAGGTTTTTTCATGTCCGGTATTTTATGCAGTTAATAACTAAGCTTTCACTTAGATGCTTGTTTTATTTTGGAAAATGTTCCTTATCACAATTTACAATTAATTAGCACTTTTTATGCAACTTGAGAATTTACTTTCCCCCCAAAAGGAGCACATGAGTAGGACACTGGCACAATAAATGAGGCAGACAGTTCAGTTTTAAATATCCCGTTTGTATAACTGAAGATTGACAACAATTCAATCATTTGCACTCTTGCTAATGAACAAATGATGCATGCGCATTTCTCTTCTCAGCTTTAAATGAGATGTGACAAAACCCTTTTCTGGCCGTCACATGACCACTCCCCTTCATCCTGTTATGCTCTTAATGGCCTTCAGCTTGTCAATTATTCAGTGCTGGGCCCTCTTTACCCAAGGTGGTGTTCTGTATCACCAAAAGCCAATAAGAGAATCGGATAGAGACATCTCGATCACAAATCGGTTGGAGAGTTGGGGAGGATGGATCAGACAGTTCGGTGCTCTGGGATAAGTAATGGAGCGGGTCTCTTAGCTAGGCAGGGCCTCCACTAAATCAACGCTAGGTAATTGATGTTAATGCTAAGGCAAGGTCCCAGTCTGGGGCCTGGCTGCCCACTGATTGAGATTTTTGTGTAGATAGAGACCAAATGCTGTAGGGTGGTGGAGGATGGGATTGTTGGTGGTTGGAGTGGGAAAGAGCCTTTAGCTGCCAGGTGTCATGGGGCTTGACTTTAATGCACTCTGGGCAAAGTACTTGATAGGAGGGCCAAAATGTTTGTGATGGTAAAAGGCAGTTGTGCTGCCCCGAAGGCTACTTGTGGCTGGCCGCATCTTCCATCATATCGTATCAGAACCCATTTATGGGAGCGGTACGACTGTGGAGCAAAGCCTCTTACAGCAGACGTGTACACTGTGTACTAAACAAAAACTACTCATGGATGCACGTTAGGGTTGGGCAGTTTACATCACAGTGGAGTCACCCCATCACACCGCTGAGTGTTTTGTTGTTTCATTGGGGTTTTTTCTCCTGTTTGTTGTATTTTTTTTTTATTTATTTTTTTTTTTGGGGGGGCGCACCTCATGGTTACCTCGTTAAACACGACCCGAGGTTGTTTTTGGCTAGTCCTGTGTGGTTGTTGATTTTAACACATGGCAGGATTGACATTACATGGTCTCAAGCGGGATTTATAGTCCCCACAAATGTGTCCTTTTGTGTACACTTCGTCACACAGAGGGGGGCTTTTCACCCACACAAGACACGCTGTCGCAGGAAGTGGATGATGTATGCTACTGCCCAATGTTAAATGGTTGACAAGTGGTCAGAAACAGAGCAGGGACCGATAGAGTTTACGAGGAACGGGAGAACCGCAAAAAAAACCTTCAAAGATCAGAAAATAAAGCATGAGAGCAAAGACAGTTTGTTTCACTTCAACTCTTTGTATGCGAGAACTTTGCTCTCCTCTGCAGCTGGCAGATTTTATACACTGCCTCCATCTGACAACAGAGCTCACCGCAGGCAGACTGGCAGGCCCTGAACATGCTAGCTCTGCCCATCATAAAACCAGCTTCACTCTTTCAATT